AACCCGCGACCCTCAGACTGCGAGTCGAGCGCCCTAACAACCTGGCCATGCGAGCCCTAATAAATTGCTTAATACAAATATTAGTACTCGCGTTAAAAGCCTGAAAATTTAGCATTGAATATGTTTTATCTATTACATGATCGGCAAAAAAAATAAAAAAAATTATTGACATTATTAAAGAAATGATACATTAAATCATGCAGTTTCGTAAATCCCACATTTTTTTTGCGACATATTTAAAATGTTTGTTATAATAATAAACAAAACTATTCATTTGTATAATGAGTTTTAAAAGAAATAAATTAGGAATAACGTATCAACAACGAGAATGTGTTAAAATACGAATATACCTGAAAATATTCATACAAAAAAAATAGTCCCCAATTTGAGGATAACTTGGAACTAACTATTTAATAAAAAAAAATAATAATCTAAATATTGAAAGCTTTCTTTCTGCGGGAACTTCACGAACTAAGAATGCTAAAATTCGGGGTTCGATTCCCCCCACTGTGGACATCGTTTAGCTTTGTGCTTAATAACAACAAACTAACCAACCATTCTATATTCAAACAAAGAAGTACAGGCTTACACCAACATCAACACCTCTATCAGAAGTATGATTTATTAACAGATGAGTTTTTAGGCAGTTTTGTGATTCAAGATACTACCTTATTTTACTGAGAAATGTTGTGTTTTTAGCTTATTAGAAATATTTAAAACCTCTCTTCGTAACTTGCATTCTAGTTTATATAATGTTGTATCGAATATACTCTTTGAGAACGAGATATGTTATGTAATTTGATGCACGGAGAAACATTTTCTATCTACAGCTAATGCCTATTTCATCTTGTTTGAGCTATAAAACTTTTACTCAATTAAAACCCCAAAACAATAAGAATTATAGAACAAGTTAACTGTTTAAGGTTGTTTTGTGACTGGCAGTTTGTGACTTCAAACGAAAACACATCTTTAAAAATTTAAAAGCTTATCAAGGAATGAATGAAAACTGTCGTGTTTTCAAAACACATTATGAACACAATGTTGTGATTGAAAGAAACTATCTTAAGTTAACTGTTTAAGATTGTTTTGTGACTGACAATTTGTGACTTCAAACGAAAACACATCTTTAAAAATTTAAAAGCTTATCAAGGAATGAATGAAAACTGTCGTGTTTTCAAAACACATTATGAACACAATGTTGTGATTGAAAGAAACTATTTTAAGTTAACTGTTTAAGATTGTTTTGTGACTGGCAGTTTGTGACTTCAAACAAAAACACATCTTTAAAAATTTAAAAGCTTATCAAGGAATGAATGAAAACTGTCGTGTTTTCAAAACACATTATGAACACAATGTTGTGATTGAAAGAAACTATTTTTACGGAACGGTGCATTTTTTAGGGCTTGACATGCGTTTTTGTGTTTACATTTATCATTCATACTTGATAGTTATATGATATTAAGTAACATATTTCTTTGTTTTAGAATTTCGCGTAAAACTACACACGAGCTATCTATGCATATCTATCCCCAAATCTGAACTGATATAGAGGAAAGTCGGCTGGTTAACATCACCCACCGTCAACTCTTGTCTAACTAACTGTTAAATCTCACCATTTACTTTTATATAGCACCCACGGTCTCATTTTGCAGAAGGCGTTTTGTTTGTTTGTTTTTTTGCGGCAAAAGGGCGCGAATTATAAATCCTCAGATCTACATTTTGAACAAACTAAGTACTAGGCTAAGCCAGGGCCTTTAAACAGCGGAAAATGCTAAACTAACGTTATTAAAGTTGATATATCATTTAAATAATAGACAAAAGTAGCATTTTTACTCTCAGTTTATTTGGCGTCTGGCCCGGCATGGCCAGGTGGATAAGGCGCTCGACTCACAATCTGAGGGTCGCGGGTTCGAATCCGCATCCCACCAAACATGTTCGCCCTTTCAGCCGTGGGGGCGTTATAATGTGACGGTCAATCCCACTATTCGTTGGTAAAAGAGTAGCCCAAGAGTTGGCGGTGGGTGGTGATGACTAGCTGCCTTCCCTCTAGTCTTACACTGCTAAATTAGGGACGGTTAGCCCTCGTGTAGCTTTGCGCGAAATTCCAAAACAAACAAACAAACAATTTGACGTCTGTGCTGTGCCAACTGCGAGTAACGAAACCCAATTTTGTTTAAGAGTTACAAGTCCACAGAGTTATCACTGAGCCATCAGGGAAACCTCATAGTGTAAACAAATACAAGTGTTAGTGGGGTGAGTTAGGGGTTGTATCATAACTAAAATTATCAGACACACACACACAAGTTTGGAGTGCAAGAAATTATTTCGTTTTACTCACAATAGGTTGCAAATCAGTTTTAAATCATATACATAATTATGTAACAAAACATCAACAATATCACCAAAGGTTTTAGAAAGCAGATTTACACAACACATTATACAAACGGCTTCTCTCATAAATTACAATGTCAAGTGTCACGTTGTCACCATTTAAAAAATTAATAACTTAAAACATAAAACAAATGTTGCATAAGAATGAAAATATATTTTCACTAGAAGTAACGTACCTGACTTTAAAAGAGAAGCCATTGAAACGTTTACATAATTGAAAAATAAGCAAGTCAAAAGTTTGCCATTAAGCCTAATCACAACAAATTTGGTGACTTAATATTAAATTTTATACTTTAAATTCGTACGAAAATGGAGACAGTATCAGAGGAAATACCTTAAACTTTCAAAAGTATAGGGTGTTACTCCAGTTTTTTTAAAGGTAATTTGATTAAGTTTCAAAGCTGTAAAATTTACATATGACTTGGTTATGCTAAAGACATTATTATTTTCATGTACAATTTGCTAAAACGCAACCACTCCTTAACATCACCAACAGAGTCTTTACAAACACAAGGTGTAAAGTTTTCGAAATTCCTTATTTTCTGTACCTAACAAATTCGATTATTCAATTTTAGCACAATAGTGATAACAAAACGTCTGATGCTTAATTCTGGCCACTTAGTACCTGTAACTTTCTTAGTTAACTGTTGCTTTCAAATACCTAGAGATTAAATCTTTCTTGAAGCTTTTATTTCAATTCACAAATTTCATAATGTTATCGGTTGTACGGGTATCATTCTGTTACAAAGTGGGTGGGTGTTATACTGTTAACAGTTAAACAGGCATCATTCTGTTACCAGTTACATGCCTACTACGTTGTTTTCACATGGACCTTTTCAAGTTGAAGGACATACAAACTATGTTTTTCTAGGATTGTTCTCAATGTTCGGGTTTCCTAATTTCCAAGGGAATAAACGTGCATGCAAAGGTCTTAAATCTGCTAACAGGGAAACGTTGGTGAAAAACGTTTCACGAACATGAGTGTGTTTCTCTTAACAGTATCAAATTCAATATACATTTGAAAACGTAAATTTTAGATTCAGTAACTGGAAGTTTTAGCCAAATTTGACAACTCCTTTAAACATCTCCTTAACCAAAAGCATTTATTCCAGGCCCAAGATCACTTAAGATTTTTGTGTTAGGTATTTTTTAGGATTCATCTGCTATTCCAAGCACTAAGGAACACAGAAATGGAACACACATATTGTCTGCTATTCCAAGCACTAAGGAACACAGAAATGGAACACACATATTGTTTTAAAAGCACGTATAAAGATGAAAGAAATCTGAATTTCGTGTACTTCTTTTGTGTCTCAACATAATGGCATAAATACAGTAAACAGTAATTCTCTATTTCATCTTGCTTGAACTATAAAACTTGTTGTATTCGATTGGAACCCAAAGCAATAAGAACTAAAGAACAAATTAACTGTTACTGCAGGGAGGAATTATCGTCCTTCGTAGACAATTTCACGATGTCAGCAACGAGGAAACTTGAGAAAATAGTTTTCTAGGAAACCAAATAGAATTCGATACTTCAAGACCTTAGGTGGGAAATATTGTTTGTTCAGTGGACAGAAAATACAGGGTCAGTTACTGTCTTCGGGCTAATTCACGCTTCAGTTTGATTGCTGTAATAGCCTGAAGTTCCTGTTAAAGTAACGTATTGATCTGTATCAAAAGAATACACACAAGTGAGGCCAAACTATTTTCCTAACAGATAAAAACCATCAATTCAAAGTATAGAGGTCGCTGTTGACCCGACACTCAGTTAGAATTTACCTAAAAAAAATTATCGTTTTATAGCATAACGATATAAATAGAAATATAATATACAATCTGTTTTTCTGCTACACAAAACTATTTGTAAATTTTGTACAAACTGAATTTAAAAATACATAATTTTATAATTGACAAACTGTTATTATCGCTAATTAATTAATTGAAACAATTTCTCGTAAAATTAAATCTCTACATATTAAAAACAGCACAGTTTTACATTTAATGAGTTGATGTTTTTGTATTAAATTTAAAAAAATTGAAGCAAAAAACGATAACGGTGAACAGAAACGAAAATAATCAGAAAAAAAAGTCGCAATTGCCTATTAAGAATAAGGTGACTGAGATCTAAGGTTCTACATATATATATTAGTTCAATACAATAACGTGATCTTAGCTGAGAGAAGCCATCGTTCAAAAACTATATATATAATGGCAACGGAATAAAAGTAAAACAAAAATAACCAACATAGTTACATACTGGTGAATATAACATTATTTATAATACACTACATATACACAGATTTATATATATGTGTACTGGAAAGTAAAACATATATTTTATTTAGATTTTATATCTTACTATATTTATACTTATTACACCCTCAGTGAAACAACCTGTAAATCAAACTGTATCAAAACAAATAAATGCATTTTAGCAAAGTAAAATTATTGGCCATACATTTTTCTGGCTTTATATAAAGTAGCAAACATTGACATTTTTATATACAATATGTAAAAATGAAATTAATTAATTCAGTATATGCTATATACTACTGTAACTTCTGAACATCATTTTTAGATCATTGGTTTGATGCTAACATACATCACAAACCTTTACTAAATCTACTCGTATAGACCATTATTAAGTCCATAGCAACTATGGCTGTTAACGAAACTTAACTTATTCTAAGTAGTTGAAACATGTATTGAACATTATTGTAAGTTCTTTTAAAAATTAATTTAAATTCAAATGATTCCAGATAATACATAGGAATAACAATTTAACATCTATGAGATAGCAAGCAACTGATAAGCTTGAACGAAGTTAAGCTATGTATACACTAATGAAATCCCACGACATTTGATCTATTAGGGGATTAATTGGAATGCACCATATACAATTAACTAGGGATCGTTTGAACAAATAATGTTCCACGTGACCCACACCATTGTTATTTACTAAAACATAAAGAAACTATTCGCACGGAAATCCTGATGCACCGAGAGCTTCTTTTTTTCATTTCAGCTTTTAACAGTGAACACACTGAACGACCATCATTTTCGCCGGCGACAGTTATAAATATCTTACTCAATTTCGTCGGTGAAACTTAAACTCTGAGAATATCCTTCTTAGACTAGTAGGTAAATAACGACACTCAGAGCGACCATTACTTTCATGAGAATAGAATAGGAAGAAAACAACACACGCATATATATATATAACTACACCTATATACAATAGTCGGTATTCTTCTAATACATGAACAGTTTTAGTGAAAAACACGTGTTTTCAAGTGTGTTAATTTATATCCACGCAGTATATTGACTGTAACATTCAAATAGCTGTTTTAAAACCATGAACTTTTGGGTCGACTGATCCTTTGGGCTCCCGTTGGGCGGAGACACTGGGTCCAGTTATCAAACCATACAGATGATCAATAGTGTCCGTAGATACACTGAAACTTTTCAGTTCAACCAGACTTCTAGAATTGAAATGAAGCAGAATTAATATTGTAACTACATTAATGGTGGTCTGTAAAGTAATGGATTTATTTTTTATTCCCACGTGTAATTAACCATGGAAAACTGAATTTAAGAAAACTTGTATCTTCTAAAACACGTGTCGGGTATTTACATAAAACAAATCGTCTCTGACAATACTGAAGGATTTGTCAAATATTAAAGAAATATGATGCACTAATATTTTATAGTTTGTCTCGTTACCTCTCTAGGTCACGTGAAATTTCATCTGTTGTATAACTTTCCTTCCCGCTCTCGTGGTTATGCGGAAGTGTAGTGTCCTCGTGGCTAGGCGGAAGAGACGTGCCCCCGTGACTGCTGTTAATCTCTTCCTTAAATCGGAGTAAAATTTTCCTTGCTTCGTGACTTACGCTGGTAAGATGTAGACCTTCGGAAATGTCTTGGAGGGCGGATTCCGTTTGTCTGAAATCAAAAGACGATTAAGAACCATCTGCTATTTACAAGTGTCGATCTTGAAAAAGGATTTGATCGAGTTCATTATTAAAGCTTCAGTGGCATCGCAATAACTGCCAAAGAGTTTCAACCTAAGCCAATCTTGTGACTGGCTTATGGCTGCCCATACAACAGTGAACGGGCGTTGTGTAGTTTTTAAAGTTTTTGTCGTATAAAAGTTAATATATATTTGATTGATTCTTTTTTAATGATTTTCTATGATGGCTGACTAGATTGACATCAGCGTTTGGAGTTTGTCTGATAGATGGGATATCCCCAATACATTTGGGTGCTATTACCACAGACATTATTCGTTATGACAACAAGTTGACAACTAATGCGATATATATATATACACACACACGCCCAAATTGCATGTAAAAACATTAATTTTTATCTAGATTTCTTTACTGCGTATATATATATATAAACGTTTTCCTTATTTCACAAGTCCTACAATTCAAAGCAAACCTCTTCTGGGTACCAGAAAATCGAACAAACGTGTGCTTCTCACAAAGATATATACAACTGACTTGTGGGACAGAAGTTGAATTTGGGCGTTCCCGAAAACGTTTAATTAAATTGTGTTTTACTTTTTTTAAACTAGAGGAACTTCATAAACTATTTTCAATACCGAAAACGTTTTATCACAAAACAATGCGTTTCCCTCATTATTTATATTGTTTGGTGGGTATAAGCTCCAGAAGCAATTAGTCTATAGTGAAGTGGGAAATTGTAGAAATGAATATTGATCTCTACTGAGAATCAACGGGACACACCCCTATACAAATGTGGTCGGAGCGCTCCATAATTCTGCAGAGAACCAGAAAATGGAACTCTGGACAAGAGGAGGTTATAACAGCGGGATCTACATAACTTATAAATATATTTTGTAACAATACACTGAAAGAAGGTTCACGCATTTGAGATATAATTAGTAGAAAAATAATGTTGGCGTCAGTTTCCAAACGTCTTCACAATACTTCATTTTATTTGTTTGTTTGTTTTTGAATTTCGCGTAAAACTACACGAGGGCTATCTATGCTAGCCGTCCCTAATTTAGCAGTGTAAGACTAGAAGGAAGGCAGCTAGTCATCACCACCCACCGCCAACTCTCGGGCTACTCTTTTACCAACGAATAGTGGGATTGACCGTCACATGGTAACGCCCCACGGCTGAAACGGCGAGCATGTTTGGTGTGAGAGGGCTTCGAACCCGCGACTTTCAGATTGCGAGTCGAGTGCCTTAACCACCTGGCCATACCGGGCCTCATTTTATTTGTCACAGTGATTCACAATGATAAAAAAAACATTTCACGCACACAAACAAATCAGGATGAATGAGAATGTATATTCGTTTGACATCAATGTTCTTCCCTTTTCTTCATTCTTCTCCATCACGTACAGATTTTTTTTCACAAAGCGTCATAACGCAGTACATAAAAGAAAGACCACAACACGTAGTTTTGAGACTAAAAGACGTAGAATTCACACACACACAAACAAATCAGGATGAATGAGGATGTATATTCGTTTGCCATCAATGTTCTTCCCTTTTCTTCATTCTTCTCCATCACGTACAGATTTTTTTTCACAAAACGTCATAACGCAATACAAAAAAGAAAGACCACAACACGTAGTTTTGAGACTAAAAGACGTAGAATTCACACACACACAAACAAATCAGGATGAATGAGGATGTGTATTCGTTTGACATCAATGTTCATCCCTTTTCTTCAGCTTGTTTGTATTTTTGTTAACAAACATAATAATAAAAAGTATTC